CTACCTTTTTCTCTGTTTTGAAGACTTCCAATTTCACTCTTACTCCATTCTGCAAAACCCTATTAGGACAGGTTCTATTACAGCTGCACATCTGATTGCATTCATAAACGAGGTACCCTTCCTGCAGAGTTTCATGAGAAATAAAGCAACAAATCAACCTTATGGTCCTTACCAACGAGAAACAGGAGAAAGAAAATTATGTGCAATTCAAGCATATTAATGGAGCCCTTCTTGCTTCTTAGATAAAGACTTGCATCTCTTTGTGGGACAGCTCAATGCCACCATCTCCCCAGTCCCCTTCTATTGAGGGATCCCTCAAATAATTTTATTTGAGGGACGCCCTTTAGGATACCCTACAATTTTTTTTCCAATGATCCAAACCATCTATTTTTTAGGTCTTCATTCATAGATCATCCTTACAAAAAATTAAACAAATCGGAAACCATTTCGACATCCAATTGTGTCTTACAAAATCAATGAACCCGGTGCTTCAAGAAAGTACTAAAATTTTAATAACTCAATTGAATGGTCAAATGATATCGGATTCAAGTGATTTTTTGTAGAGATGATCTTTCAATGAGTATCTACAAAATAGACGGTTTGGATTAGTGAAATACAATCCGGAGTTTACCCTACAAGGGGTATCCCTCAAATAAGCTTAATTGAGGGATCCCACAATGGAAGCTCTCTGTATATGTGTGTGTGTGTATATATATATATATATATATATATATAGAGAGAGAGAGAGAGAGAGAGAGAGAGAGAGAGAGAGAATAAAATGATCTATACAGTCAGATCAAAGTAATGCATTTCTATATGCCTGTCTGTGACAGGATCAACAACAGGACATATATTGCTTGACAGAGTAGAAATGACAGTATCAATCCAGAAAACAAACCATTAACCATCTACAAAATGAAATAAAAGTTCAAGACTTCCAACAGTGAAGAGCATACCACCGTCATTTGTGATCAAAGACAACTTCAAGAGAAAATACCAAAATAAGAGAGATGGGATTGGTGATTAATGTTAGATTTTGATTAGCATTACCTCCAAGATAATTCGACCTTTCCCATCATATGGGAACCTGCCACGCATGGGTTTCCCAAAGATGTCTTTTGCATCATCATAGTCATTATCAAAAAGGTACACATGATCACACGTTTCTGGACAGCATGTTGAATGTGGGCATACACACCCCAATTGCACACTCTGCAATGAAAAGGAAGAAGAAAAAAAAACAATATTAAAAGTAAACTAAAAAACGGAGGAAGAATATGCAAAATCAATAATGTGTTGAATCCATTCATTTAAACCCTTTTAGGGTCATGATTAATGTATCATGATAATGTCTGTGTGTGTTAGTGGGTGTGTGCATGCATGTGTGCGTGTGTGTGTGTGTGAGAGAGAGAGAGAGAGAGAAGAGACAAAGAAATATGGCGATACAACAGCTAAAGGAATAGAATAAAAGTAAAATAAAATTCCAATATCTATGAGGTAGGAAACCACAATTTGCACCTTCTTTACAATTTATGGTAGTCAGGCGAGAGTGATGCATATTAAACATGTGTCATACATGCAATACTGATATCAAGGTCAGTGATAAGATGATATTAGACCAAACATTGAAATAGCCAAAAGAAAGATACCTCTGTATCAAGTCCAAGGGATTGATGAACCAATGGCTTCATGATATAGGTAAAGCTCTCCCAAGGCATGGAATGCCCAGCATTTTGGTCATTAGAACTATGTGCAAGAGCATTATAAGAATCCAAGTGACCTTCATCTGCTACACAGACCACCGGAACCAATTCCTGTCCAAAGCTTACATCATTACACAAGACAAGAGCCTTCTGGAAGGAAATTTGGCTCAAGTGATGGGCATCAATAATATAGTGGCTTTCATCCATCTCCCACTTATCGTCAAGAGGATCTGATGAAGGTGGAAATTTGTGCCCAACAATACCAATTGGAAGAGGCATCAAGGGAGACAGCAAGCATTCCTTGAAAGCATTGCATCCTTTAGGGCAAATAAAGCCATCTTGATGCCAACCTACCTGAATATTATGCTCACTGCAAAGCTTGGCTGCCTTCAGATACAAATGTTCTGGCAATACTCCATATTTTCCCTCCAGAAAGGCCTTAAGACTGATCTTGCAGCAAGCAGAGCGAGCAACAGATAAAATGTCTAGGTTGCTGGGCCTGCGTTTTGTTTTCTGCATCTCAGAAAACAAAATTCTGGCTACTGCTGAACAATGTGATTCCGCTAATCTACAAAGACTTGCTCCCTCAGTTGCATGACGCTGTATATTTATTCCTCCTGCACCAAGTGCCTTCGAAGCTTGAATTCGCTTCTTCATAGTAGCATTTGCTCTATTCCTGATCCTATATGATGCTGCTGCCAAACTTTTTTTTAATCTAGGACGGCTAAGTCTCCCAGATTTTAACCTATAAGCATAATACCGTATCCCCCTCTTTGAAGGCCGAGAACTGACTAAACTTGGCCCCATGTGAGCAGCTTGATGATGACGACCAAGATCGGGAAGTAAATCAAACTTCAACCCACAAAACCTGCAAACAAACTTTCGGGAACCACTTAAATTCTCAGAGTTATTCTCCACAGAAGCTGAATTGCACAACTCAAGCTTCCTTGGAGAATCATCACCAGCAGACAGAATAGGTTGAGAAGCTTCAGAGAGCCTGAAATCATCAGTATGAACCGCAAGCACATGCAACCATAACTGCTCTGTGTTCCCAAAATGGCTTCTACAAGGAATACACTGGAGAAGCATGCATTGTTCAACAAATTGTACGCGGTGTCTCTCCTGAACATGAGCTTCCAATACTTTCTTATTAGTAAAAGAATCCAGGCAGATGGCACATGCATAACCTCTAAACAGCCATTGTGCTTCCTTTTTATGATTGTCCATCCAGTGAGTTCCAAGTGCTTGGTCGTCCACATACTCTTGAGAACAAACTTTGCACTTAATGGCTTTTTCACTGTCATGGTTGTCATCCACAGCCCATGGCAACAGAACTTGTTCTTCCATGACAGAGGACAAAGCACCTGTATCTTCATCAGTATTGAATCCCCAAATTCTTCTGAGTCTCTCCTTCTCACTGCAAACCAACTTTGTGAATATTTCCCCAACACCAAAATTTTTAGAAGCTTCAGATAGGGCCCACTGAAATTGAACATCCTTAGGAACAGGATTTCTTAAAGACAGTATACTTTTAAAAAGCTTGTAAAAGAGCTCACATGCTTGATGCAACTGAAACTTTTGCTCCTGTGAGTGACAATCCTTCAAAAGATCTATAAACACTTCTTTTGATATTATCCTACTCTTACCATTTCTTGCACGTTTGAGCCAACTTGGGAGGTGCTTTTCACAATATAATGAATGCCTCTTTGGACTTTCCAGACAAGGGTTGCTGTTATCATGCAAACAAGAGCCTATGCAACGCAGCTCTCCTGAGCTATTACAAGCTTTGGCAGGAGACTCAGACTTTTCAAATAAGCTCTTTCTTTCATAGGAGGCATCACCAGCCATGACTGAGACAGGATCCACTTGTAGAGGACTCTCAACATCTCCGACCAATACTATCTCTCTGCAGTTTATGGTCTCTAAACTTGGAATGGTTTCCTCATACTTTCTCTTAAGTGTATTCTCTGGAAAACTTAAGATGGTTTTCATATCATCTTTTGGTCTATGCTTCTTACAAAATGAGGAGCCATATAAAGATCGATGCTTACATCTAGTTCCAAGGACAGTTGTTCCTTCACACATTGGTGTATCACTAGAGTGAGACCCTTCTGCTTTCGTAGAGTTGCCCATGAAACGAGAGGACAAATGCACACAACAGTAAACATCACCATCATTTGCCCACCTCACGCATTGCCTTCCCTTGGATTCAATATAAGCAATGCACTGTCGATTTTTACTTCCAGGATCAGAAGATTTTACAGCAGCTACTTCATTGACTGGTGTAAATTCCACATCTTTGGTTCGGTTGAACTCAGAATTTCCAGCTTCAAGTACGACTTCATCCCATTTATGAGCAACATCACTAGGTGTGTCTGTCTGTGCAGCTATATCTTTCATATCTTCTTCTTTGTAGGGCTCTGATGCTAATGTAGAAGCATTTGCAGTGTCTCGATTATTAAAGAATTCAGAATCAATTTCAATAGCTATAGCCTCATCTGAACCCCTGGATTCCACCTGGGAAGCATGTGCCTCTGCACGACGAACTTCAAGCTTGGGCCTTTTCCTGCCAGTTTGGAGACTTGTGGCCAAGGGACCGTCACTACTCTGCTGTTGAAAGTCTACACCATTGGATATGGGATGAGAGGTTGAAAACCATTTCATAACTTCATGCTTCCAAGTTTTCCACTCAGAACCCAATGTAGGCTGCAATGGTGCATTCTGGAGAGACTGAACTTCATTCCAGAGAATAGACTCAACCAATTCCTAAACCAGAAATTAAATCAACCGAAAGTTCAAGCAAATGACTAAAAATTATTTCAAAAGAAAAATAACTAACGAAAAATAACTAAAGCAAGAAGAATGAAGCAGCTTCAACTCCATTACAATGAATCCTACTGGTTTAAAGGAAATGAAATACTACCACGTTATAAATACTCTATACCAACATACAGCATGCAAGGAAACAATATGGCATTTATATAAGGTTTAAAGAACCACATATAACCCGTTCTTTCATGAAACTATGGCTATCTGATGCATGACAACTTATTATACCACAGCACAACCAGTGAACATAGCTTATAAACGAGCATCCAAATTTTAACATGTACCTCCTTCAGTACTTCAACAGTTGCAGCGCTAGACGCATTCTGACACTGTTGCACCCAAAGGTGATATGACTTTTCTTGCCAGTCAGAATTTATGTAGCTCTGTGATATCATCTGCAAAGGAAACAACAATGGCATTACTTAATAACTAATCAGAAGAAAAGAAAAATGTAAAGGAAATTACTTATTTATTTCGGAACAAAATATTAGGGAAAAAAAGGAGTTCCAAGTTTTAGTTTAATATAATTAGATTGGTTGAAATCATGCTTGTCTAACATGGGAAGAACACAACAATTCTACAATCTACGCAAAACACTAAATAATGACAATGCCTTGGTTCATATTTAAATTAAGAAAAGAAACAGTTTCCGTCCCTATTGTGACAATTCAAGAATAAAGAGATATAGCAGTTTACACTTTGCAGCTTCCGAAGCATATTTCCAAGATCAGAATAGCCATTACAGCGAGAAGCCTCCATTGCAAACTCCTTCCAGACGGCCACATCACGAGCAGTCTCTATCAAAGCCTACACAAGTTTGACATATCTCTAATAAAATGACATTCAAGCAGAAGAGGATACTAAAGACAGTAAATTGTGCGCTCCAATTAGAGAAAAAGAAAGCTTGAGAGAGAGTATGAGAATCTCATATCAAATCACGTACCTCAGTATGAAATTGGTCAACAACATTCAGCATTCCAACAGCTAACTTTTGCATAATAAACCGACGTGCTACAGTCAAATCTTTTACCAATTTTAGTCCAACTTTATGTGTTTTATATGCAATAGGATGTGGAAATTCATTGATCGGACGAACAAGTAGCGTGTCTGCCCAAGAATAATTCCTTGTGTGCGGAAAAAATATCACAAAATATTTTTTCCTGTCATGAGTTGGTTTTGCTCTCAAAGTTGATAAGGGGCAGTCAGCTCGCGCACATCGAATTCCTGTCTGCCACTTCCCTCTCCACTATACTTGGAAAAACAGAGAAGTACCAAAATAAAATAAAATCAGCAGATGTTAATTTATTCCACCAGTTTCATTCTTTTTATTTTGGTTAAAGAAAATTGGGGAAGGGGTATCAGGATCTATAAATCCTCAATTTGTATACATGCATACAACCTAAAAAGAAATTTAATTTATTTAAGTCTCCCAACCCAGTTGCTCAAATTGTTAGGATGAAGGCCAACAATTAATTTTTATTCCCAACATTCTAGAGAGCACAACACCGGAAGATCGCAGTTAAGAAGAGTTGAACCCAGGACCTTCCGCTTTACCACATTTAAGTATCTAAACCAAAAGCTAAAGTGATAGGATGTGGGCCTGCAATAATGTTATATTTGAACATTAAGGGGGAAAAGAAGGAAAAGCACAAACAGCCAGTTGGGGGCATCCTAGAACCTGTAAACTTATGGGTAAAGACAATGAGGCTAACCAAATTGACATGCAACAGACACTAGAAATTGCATAAGAAAAGGTTTAGGTTGTGATAACAAAGTAAAGATTTGAACGTGAAAGAAATACAAGTTACCTTGACCCACAATGCCACAGATTCATCACTTTCTAGCCATGTAGATTCTGAAAGATACGACTCTCCTTCCCTTCTGTTGTTTGGCAATTCACTTTCCCTGCTATCTACAATCAGATGACCATTGTCAGACGTTAGGCAAGGTTCTGTGCAGTAATTCTGTTCATTGACGTCATCATCGTCAAAATCATGTGATATACTGGATGACTTTTGGCCCTCCGCTTGACTATCAAGACATGAAGCTCCATTTTGACATCCTTCTGAAGTATGCAATTCATCAACTGCCTCTTGAACTTGACCTTGTCTTACTAGTTGAGGCCCTTCCACATTTGGTAATAAGTCATCTACTCTGCCATCTGGCACATGCACTTGCTTCTCATGTTCAAGGCAGTTGGATTCTCCATCATAGACAGAAGTGGTTGCTGAACTATGTTGAGGGCAATCAGATTGTCCAACACACTGAACGCTGGAGCAAGGGAGCACTTCCATGATCTTACACTAAAAATAGTGGTGCCATCTGATGCATATGTTATCACTGATTATTTGCCCACCCACCTCTCTGTTCAAACAAAGGTCCAGTTGATGAAGAGTCAAGTGAATGTATTCTATAACATACCAACTCTCAAAACAAAAAAACCTTAAATATACTTCTTATGAACTGATGAAAAATAAAACGCTGCATCAGCCATAATGAGCATATGCGTGCATACATGTGTATATGTAAGTCTACAAATATGATCAGAGGAAAAACCTCTAAGACAATGCTGAGAAACTACAATGGCCTCACTTGGACTAACCATATATAACATAATGAATAGTTACATATCAGGATAGCATTTAAAGAAAGACAGCAATCATGTAACCGAGATCAACCAAAAAATTAAGCAGAGGCATGAGGTAGAGGGGCAGAATAACGAAAATTAGGCTTTCCATCTAGATGACAAATGCTATAACTGCAAAAGAACCACATATCAATTTGAACCGCATATTAGGCAAAAACTGCGAAAAAACATAGCTCACAATCAATTTGAACCACATATTAGACAACTGTCTAGCTTAATCCATTTAGGCTCACGGTTATAGTTTTAAAAAGAAATTACATGAACTTTCAGATATATCAATCCATGCATAGAAGACCGAACAAAGTTGAATCAATGAACTGAACTTAACTGTATCTTGACATGACATTCCATTAGGAAACTAAGTTTGATGTCATATCCTGCATTCATTTTTTATTTGATAATAATTCATTCAACTAGCAAACAATCTCCAGAAACTAGCAAACTCTTTTTTTTTTTCTTTTTTGCATTTCTTTCTATCTTATCCCATTTTTTTTTTTTGCATTTTTTTTTATCTTTTCCCTTTTTTTTAATTTCCAAAAAAAAAAAAAAAAAAAAAATTTACTTAATTGTTATATCTAGTAAAATGGCATAGTATTATATTCTTCTTCTTTAAGATTAAAAGATAAAGAAAGGAAATTTTCACAATAAATATATGATTCTACAATCGTAACAGAATTACACATCCAAAAAGCTCCAGTTGTCTAAAAAATATATTTTCCAGCAGAAGTATATTCTAGGGAAACAAAAAGAAAACTGCGTTCAGATTCCATTTATTATAATTAAAATGAAGTCTGCAAGAAAAAGATTCAATCTTTGCATTAAATATACATAAAACCTTTTACTTCTAGAAATTTACACATCAAAACAGAGCAAGAGGTACTAAAAATTGGTAACCGATATAATATAACTAAAAGGTATTATAATGGTGCTCCTCAATTCAGAAGCGGTAATACACAACAATCTGCATAGAAAACTATGTGACGTAAAATCAACAACCAATGAACCCCGGTTCCTTACATCTCTGTACATCTATAGTACCAGAGTTTCTCCAAAATAATCTCACCCAAAATCAAACTGCAAAACACTGCCCATAAACTTGCCTAATACAATCAGAAAGAAGCTGCATCACACTTTAATTACAACCAACGAGCTCAGCATGTGAAATTGACCCATATCTCAAGAACAAACCCTAATTCACTAAACCCAGTACTTAAAATTGGTTAAAGCCATAGACTTTACCATTAATTGGTAACATTATGATGAAAAACCCTAGATAAATCCGCAACAGACAGCCCCATGTACGGATCGGGAACATGCACAAGTGGGTACAGATCAAAAATGAAACAAAAATGATGTACCAAACATAACATATACATGCTCTTTAAAGAAAAAACCAAAAAAAAAGAACCAATTAAAAAGTACATTCGAAGAAGAAGAAGGTTCAAGTTCGTGCCTTTATTTTTCTACCATGTTTGTGTTTAAAAAGGTGGTGTCAAAATATTGTAGAAGAAGAGGGTTTGGGCTGGCTTGGGTTGGGGTGGTGAGCTAGAATAAGTCAGCAAAAATTGACAGCAAGAGAAAAGAAAGAAACAAAGAAAAAAAAATGTGACATACATAGATGGGCATGGCATGCCTCAGCCAAAATTACAGAGAGACTAGAGAAGATAAGAGATTAGATACATGCGAGGAGTGGCAGAGTAATGTACCTTACCTTTAAAGAAGGGGGAGTTTTGCCCGAAGATCACCTTTTTCCCAATTGGGTTGTGAGATTGGGTGAAAAAAATTTGTGGGTTATGTGTGTGATGGGTTTTCAAGTGGGAACCTTTTGGTGTTGTGCCCTTTTTTTTAATAATGGGTTTGGGTATTTTGGTAGCTACAACCTATCTATCTCTCTCAATCTGGCAAATCTTGGCTATAGTGATAATAGATGTGCAGGTCCCCGTGGCCTAAAAAACCGAAAAAAAGAAAGAAAATACAAAAGATAGATAGATGGGTAGTTTAATGGTAGGGAATTATGGAGAGATGAAAAGGAGATTAGAGAAACAAAGACGTGTGGTGTGGGGTACAATTACAAAGAAGTGGTCTGGTTTTCTTTTGATTATGGTTGGAAAAGAAGACCGACTGAGACTACTGGGTTGTGGGTTTGGGGGAAGTTTTGGTTTTGGGGCTTCCCTTGTTCTAAGTTTTTGTGTGTATATGTGAGCTTTTATGAATTAAAAAAGGAAAAACAAATAAAAAAAGAAAAAAAATTTGGTATTTTAGAGAGACTCGGGGTTTTTGGGGTCTGGTAAGCGCGCTTCTATAGGCTGTTTTTCGTAACGTGGCACGCTTGCTCCTTTTACTCTCTTCACAGATAACCCATAAACAAATTTATTTATTACTATTTCCTCTTGGTTTTTGAGGTCCCTCTGCCAATCTTATCTGACTGGGTTTTCGAATTTTGCAGATCTTTTTCTTTTTTTTCTCTCTGTTTTTATCTTCCTTTTTTATTTTATTTTCTGTTTTTATTTTGTTTCCAAGATTGGATGGGTGAAGGTGATGGATGCGAATTCCGGTGTGTTTTTCTTTGCTCGACCCTTCAATCGTTGATTAAAATCAAGAATTTCAAGTGGGTCTATTTGGATTCATGAATTTTCTTCTTTTTTTATTATTTAAAATGCCACCTTTTTTTTAGTCTTCCTCTCCCTTTGACCTCTCTTTTGTCCTGAAATATTGGTGTGTGTGTGTGTGTGTGTGGGCCTTTTCGGGTTTAAACGATGTGCGTCTCTCTTTTTTAGGGAAGGAAATCGAAAATTTGGGTTGTGTACAATTAACCACGATTTATACAAGGATCGTGCGTATGACAGAAGGGATGCTAATTAGCATTTATATTCTATGTTTCCTTTTAATCTGAGAAAACGCATATATTCATGTAGTGATGCCAACGCATGATCTAACTAACTCGCTATTTTTTTAGTAATGGATATTTAAATTTAAACATGTTTTTAATATTGGAAAGGGAAATAATACTAGAAAAGCTCACATGAACTATCGATTGTTTTTATTATTTGAGAATATGTTAATTATTAACAACACGATAACCCCACTTCATTACGAGATCATACATAAACAAACTAAATATCGAAATCTCGTTCATACCTAAATTTTATTCAATAAAGTGAACTTCAACACCGAGTAGTGTTACACAAAGTCCATGAAAGTTATAACACGTGTCGTCTACAATTAATTAAGATCTAATTATTGAGGCTATACCTTAATAAATTTTACAAACCTCCATTTCGATGGAAGAAAATAACTTGGGATTTAGCTAAAAGTTGGAAATTGAAGAGAAGAAATTGATATTTCCATTGTTTGGCAACTTAAATATGAAACTTATTAAATGACGCATGAGAAAAATCATGGAAATTAGGGATCTAGATTCTCGAGTTTAATTTTCGCCAAAAGAGTCGTCATTTTGTAATTTCAATTGAGTAGGAATTCATTTTTATTGTAATTTATGTCATTTACAAAATTCAACATACATAAATTCAAATATTGAAGTTATTAATTCCCATGAATTTAAATGATGGAGATTTAAATTCCATCATTTTCTTCATCCAAACAGCGGGCAAGTGTATTTCAATTTCCAATACCAATACAATAATTTCATCCAAACAGATGTTATTATTAATATCATAATTTTTGTGTGTGTTTTCAGTTAAGTCAAGCGGGCAGTTCACTTGTTAACTGTGTCGGCTTCCCACATGACCTCTAACTACACTACAAAGAAGGTACAATCTACAGCGGCTCTGTTTGGTGTGGAAGATAGATATGAGTGCAGGTACGAACTTTCTTCTTCAATTTCTTGTTTTTGCTTTTAAACTTCTGCAAATAGCTGGTTGCAGCAGGACAAGTTCTGAAGCCTCATCTGACTCCTTGTTGTGGTTGTTGTTTCTTCACTATATTTTTTCGTTTTTGTGCGATGCTTTTTTTTATATATTCTTTTTGGAACCCTTTATGGCTTTATTCTAAAGCTGGTTCTTGCTTTTTTTGAGTTAACAGGGCATAATTCATCAAGTAGTGCTGCACAACAGCTAGAGGAAGAAAGAAAGACTAGCTGAGCTGACGCAAAGCTTAAAACATAAACAAATAAATTTGGGTTGTTATGTCTTTTTCATAACAAAAAACAAAATTGTGTAGTATGAATCAGATTATCCAACGCTATGTCTTCTTGATTAAATTACACTAAACTTTAGCCACCACATAACAAGGGGGCCTTTGGTCACCAAGAAGGCTTATGGCTGCCCATTCAAGTCAAAGCTGCATAAATATACATGAGAGGAGAAAATGCAGCAGCCTGAATGAAATTTAGGAGTAGTCCGTAAATGCCGGAAGCTAGGTCAATCCATTCTGCCCTGCAAGATCCTCTTCTTCACTTCAGTTGGTGTTTCTGCAGCAATGTGAATGCACATTTTAAATGGTGGTAATAACCTTCAGCATAAAATGAGGGTGAAATATTATGAAGATAGCCTAGTTGCTATCTTTGGCAGCTTAGACGATGGAAGCAATGAAATTAGAATATTAGGCCCTGCCTAATTCTAAGTATGAATGTGAAAACGAAAAAAAAACAAAAACAAAAAGAGAAGAAAATTAAAATCTTATGATGCATCCAAGAGGAACACCTCCACTGTACATTACCTATTTTTATGGATAAGTTATAACACAGTTAGTTATATTGCTTAGAAGAAAAAAGTAGCTTACACAACATAGACATGGCCTCCCCACCCACTCAGACAATCTCGATCATCTGATGATAGCAATGTTTGAGAAACAATCTCAAAGAATTCCTCTGGTTCCCTGGTGAAATAATTAGAAAATATACTGTTATTACAGTTCCTGCAAATAGTAAGAAAATAAACAGGAGTACCAAATTTAGAATTAGAAGTAATAGCAGCAATCACCAACCCAATTACGTCTAACTAATTAGCGCGTAATAAATTCTACCATGAGTTAAGAGAAAAAAATTCCTGCGAATTATTATTCAAGCACATCTGGCAAGGAAGCCATTGTTTATCTCCATATATGTTTAGTTCAAGTAGCACTTGGCTGCTGACAATATAGGACCAAGAAGTTAAAACTTAGGAGATCCCTCAGCTTGTTTTTTCTTGACTTCTATTCTGTGGACCCTTACTCTGCTACTATTAGTAGTGTGATAATAACAAGGACTTAAAAAGTCATGGCCAGTGACAGCATGGATTCAAGTTCTCGAATGTTAATTATTTGATTTTCCATAACATCTAAAGTGTATTAAAATGAAAACGAAAAAATGTAAGCAGATCAAATAACAAATCTTGACTGCCCAGTGGAAAGAGCAAAGCAACAAACCATCTCAGGCTTGAACATTGCCTCACAAGCACCAGGAAGGGACTCTGATGCAGTGCCAGCAACAACAAAATCTTTGGCTGGTTCCCTGCATACACAGAAGACAAATAATACCAATATGAAATGATAGATGCACATAAACATATATAATCAAAATACGAGTAAGCACGCATATGTATTCTACTTAGGAAGGTTACAGATATGTTGGAAGTCCTTAGCATCCCATCCCAGCAGCTCTAAAAAAGCGAAAAAGTCGGAAAAGAAAGGGAAAAGAAAAAACAAACCTACTTGGCTCCAGTTGAATCCATAGTGCAGAAGAATGGCTTATCTTCATCTCCCAATCCAGCAATTACAGGCTAACAGACAGAACACAGAAGTATGGACCAAACCTAAATCACAAAAAGGCATGATTGTACACACCTCAACATTCAGATTAAGCTAACATATTCAATAGCACCTCATTATCAAATTGCTCAAGAAAATTTCAAACCTTTTCTCATAAAGAATAGCAGAGACGCATAAGTCTCAGGCTTTATGTCCCTGTCTTCACGAAGCTGGTACAGTTTGTGCCGAAACAAAAGCCTCTGAAACCTTCATCATCAACGCACAAAGCCAATTTCACAGAACTAAATAAAGTTAATGTCTTTCTATTAAACAAAGTGAGAGGGGCATATACATACAGGGTCTAAGCATCGGTGGCGAGACCAGAGAGGCCGATAAAGAGCTTATCGTGAACTCTACGAATTCTCTGGAAACCGGTGGCGATTGTCTGAAGCTGAACACCGAGCCTTCGATCGCTTGCAATGGCGTAGCAGTTCTTGCCCACCATTGCGGTCAGGCACTCCCATTGTACTCGAAGATCTGTACAGCCATTTCAAACAAAAATCAATTCATTTGTATATGTAAAACCCTAAACGCAAATGTGGGTAATGAAATGCAAGCTTCAACCTACCGACATCAGAGATTAGTTTCTGCTGCTTGAATCGCTTTGAGTGAATGGAGCAAGAGACTGGCAATACGAATCACTAAGGCCCTGTTTGAGTTCTTAATACTTTAAATCTTGATTGAAGCGCTCGTTTAAAGTTTGTTTTTTTTGGTCGAAAAGCATTGCAAGTTTATTAAGCTAAAATTGCCACTCTCTTTTCATAAAAAAGAAAAAAAAGAAAAAAAAGAAAAAAAAGAAAAAAAAGGCCACTCTCTCACCCCTTAATTGTGAAGCCACACATTCATTAGCTAAAGAATAATGCTACTCTTATTCCATTTGTATACCACATTCTCATACCACCTTATGTGGCAGATGAGGTGGACAACACATCAATTAGAATTAATTTAAAGTTTTCTTAACTTTTATGATTTATTGACACTTTTTAATTGATATGATTGTCCACTTCATTTGCCACATAAGGTGGTATGAAAATGTGTGATATAAATGTGGTAAGTGTAGCATTACTCCTAGCTAAATAGCCACCAATCCTTTCAATGGATCCTAGCTCTTAATTTAATCCCTTCCGCAAACTCTTTATAAAATCCTTGCAAGATTATACCCATTTGCATCACAAAAAGTTCCATCTCTTCCTTCACACACAACCATATACGTAATAAGATCAAAGAATGGCACGCTCCATGCATTTATTTTCACTTGCCCTCCTCCTCATTCTCCTTCTGGTGATTACAGGTATTCTTCCATTGCCCCATGCTAATTTGACCTTTCAACCTTACCCCTTAGACCTTAGACCTAATAAAGATACAAAAGCATGTGGATGTGTGGCGCCTGAATGAAAGTGGCAAAAAATGATGCCTTGTGCATGCATAATCATGAACCATATAGCTCGTATATATGCACGCAAAATGTTCTTTTTAAAACATATTAAAGTACGAATGACCATAATTAATGTGATTATTTCTTTAATGTTAAGGGTTCAGAATCATAGTGTGACAACATAAATTTGACAAGAAAACGTTCATTCCTATGCATACTAGAATTCTTTCGATTGATTTATGAATGACGCATATTAGCAAAGATTGAGCCGATGGCAATTGAGGGTAATAAAACAAAGCAGAAGAATCGTGTGACTAAGCATAAGGCATCTAACTAAACATAAGAGTCATCATGCTGCTAAGCCAAATAAGAGCAATAAGCACAAGTAGTGTGAGGTGATAACTCCTTGTCCGGTCTCCAAGCAAGGTTGCGAAACGAGAGGCCATGCCATGAAATGTGCAGAATGGCATATGGTATGACTTCAATAGCGGCGAATGTGTTCGAGGCAAATGCATGTATGTGCCTTAAAAGCGTTTGCTCATCTGTGTGTTGGAGAGCATTTATAAAATTACCAGCTGGTGCACTGGGTTTATGCCCTTTTTTTTGTTTTTCTGTTTTTCTGTTTTTCTTTCTAGTCTTGTTCTTGCCTGTGATTTCATGTAAAATTCTCACTTGTCAATCAAATCTTTCTAAAATCCTCATCTGTTGTCACCTTCTCCTTAAATAAGACTTCTGATTGCAAAGGCACACTAAGAACGGCTGAAAAAAAAAAAAAGTTGTAAAAAAAGCTTTTGTAACCAAAAGCCCAGTGAATGGAGCTATGGGCTATCGGAACAGAAGACCCCATCAATGATGCATGGACCAGCCCATTTGGGTAGAAAACTTAGCACAACCAAATATTTTGAGGCCCAAAAATATTAGAAATCGATTTATTTTCTCCCATGCTATGTAGAGGTTGCAGAAGGTGGTGCTGGTATTGGACCCCAGTGGTAGATAATAGTAGTTATGTTATTAGCGGCACCTTAAAAGTTCTCATGACCAAAACTTTTTTAAGATATAATTGTTTTTTTTATAAGCATTTTTTATGTTGTTAAAATTGAAAAGTATAATTGGATATGGGTTTTTCTAAGCATAAATGATTTGCATTAAGATCAAGTAGGCGAACCCTTTTGGTGTTGGACCATCCACCACCTTAACAGAGAGAGAGAGAGAGAGAGAGAGAGAGATGGGGTTGAGGGGCAAAACTAGGAGGGAGAGAAAGAGAGATGCCTTTTGCTGGTTATGATTGGCATTGACTCACTTGTCCAAATGTCTTTGGAAAGTTCTCCTTTTCTGTCCCACTTGTGGGATTCTTCACCTTCCCCAACCCAAAACAGAGTTTATTCAACCCAAAAACTAAAAACAAGAAGGAAAAAAAGGAAAAGAAAAAATTCTTCCCCATTTTTACACAAAATGGTCTCTTTCTCTCCCCTCATATCTAAGCTAATTTGCTGAAGGACAATTTTTTATGTGGATCTAGTTTTTGCCAACTCGAGGCAACTCACTGACCAGTCCCCACTCAGTGATAGATGATGCATGAGCAGCAGCCTCAGATCAAGAAGCACAGATTCTGCTTCATCTTTAGCTCTGTACATTTGGGTACCTCATATTTCTCTACACACAAAAAAACCTCTGTGAAGTCTTATTTATGATTACCCATTTCCCTTCAGTTTCAAGGACCAAGCATAAAAATCAAGCCATATTTCAAATAGTTTTCCCATGTGAATCATTGCATTGTTCCTTCTTTATATGTAAATATGTAGAGTAGACCCCACAAAGTGGGGCATTGACTGATTGTTGAATGATTGTTGAATGAAAACAGAACTTGCCCATCAGTCAAGAAATTGCTCAAGGTCATTGAAATTTGAATCAGTAGTGAGAGAACATCTGTTTGGTCACAAACAAAATGATGAAGTTTTGATAACAGAACATGTTCTAGATTTTATTTAACGTTTTCATATAAAGAATAGGAAAATATAGTGAAACCAGCAAAAAACAAAGCCACCCTGCTTCAGAAGCTGCAGTTTCCATCCAATTTTATGAGCTTCTTTTGAATTTCAAATGCATTTTACATCCACTTCTAATTTGTCTTCTTTTACCACTCATGCTGCACATCTCTTGCTCTGCATCTTGATATGTGTATGTTGCAGGCTTGCAGCTAGTGTTGTTTATGTCCCCCAAGTTCTTAAAATTTGATTTTAAGCTATATGACAGACGTTTTATTGATTTAAAATCAATGGCAAAACCTTGTCTTAACCTAATCTTGTGTTTGGATTCTTTGGAAAACTAACAACTTTCTGAGAGAGATCTCAGTAGCATGGAACTCTATGTCCTACTCTCTTTGATCCTTGTAGCAAGGATGTCGTTTCTTGTGGTCCACGACTAAAGAATATCATTAATGCAACTTATAAATCCAAATTTCCATGAAGCATGTCTGTCAGTTTTGATTTGAAAATTTTGAAGATTCTCCTATTCTGCAATTGAATACATAATATATATTTGTTTTCTTCTTGGTTTTCTAATAATTTTGGCTTTGTGAAACCATCCATCTGACTTGTATAAACATTTTGATAATAAGATAAAATAGAAGTTTCATTTGTTTATTTATTGTAACCTAAAGCTTCAACCCCTAGTAAATGGAGCTTAAAATGTCAGATGGATCCAAAAGGAACCATATTTTCTGTCTCTACCCTCAACCCCAGATGAAGAATCCCTACGCAAAGATAATATTGAAAAGGATTTCTGATGCTAAATAAACCAAGCCTAATAAGGCATAGCATACTGTATATAACTCGTTTTCATTTCAACTGATGAGCCTACTGATAGGGGTTGTTTCTTGTGTGCTAAAAAATTTATATTGATGGAGACAAATTTCGGTCATCTACACGCTTGTGGCTACTATTTAATTAGACATGAAAGTGACTACTAACCATTGATTGATGCAAGGATGCATCATGTGCACATAGACGATAAATAGAAGCAAAACTCTTGAAAATGCTCCTAACTTTTTATTTTCCTTCTTACCTTATATCTTGGGTTTTGGACTAAGCCCTTATTTTCAGTCTCATAATATACTAGGCTATTCTTTGAAGTTGTACTAAGATTTACCTTCGTGAAAAGGATAATTCATTCGAATGTACATGAGAGTCCAACTACATTGCATTGCCGGAATCCATGTTTGTATATTTGAAATAGGCTATTTTTGGAAGCAAGTTACACTAGGCTTCTGGTTTCTGCAATCTCAATATAAAAGGTACCTAGTAAATAATTCAGTTAAAAAAGGTTTCTACCATTGAAAAGAAAAGTCTGTCTCATTGCTCAGAGAGTCTCAGACCGAAAAAAGACCTCATTGCAGTGAAAAACGAAGCCTTTTCCTTTTCTTTTCCCCAATTAGGTGAATATCACGACAAAAAGAGAGAGACTGGCCACCTTACCACGCTGCCATTCATTTTTTTTCTTTTGTATTGGACCATTGGAATTGGAAAAGGTCAAGCCCCATATAATATAAAACATATTTTATTCGGTGGATTCTATGACAAACGTTAGTCCCCTTGACACTGAAGGACAGTTTGGGCATCAACTGTTTTCTCAAAAGAGATTTAGACAAAGAGAAAGCTCTCAAATCCTCTTGCTTTCAAGCATCCTATGTCCCCTTTATCCCTCACCTTTCATCCCTTTTGATGGGGAAGCTTTGCTTTTCTTCTAAAACCAAAACATTTGTGACCAAGTCATTATTGGACAAAACCCGTTTTTGGTTTTTGCTCACAATTGTCTTGGCTCAGATAAATTTCAATCCACAAGCGTTATCCCAAATTATGTATTTCTACAATTCCAATTATGTGGACTTAGAACTACTTCATCCTAAAACAACATACCACTGACTTTGCTTCAACTCTTGGGTTGAACTCATAAATCATCTTGTTGCCATGTAATGAATTGACAGATCACCATTCACAAAGAGTAATGCTATGTTCCATCTTGCATACACAAGTTTTAGATGCACAAAGTCAATGTGAAATTGATTTTTGGAAAAGAATGTAAAAAAGGAAACAATTTGATGTGACATTAACAATATTGGGAGTATGGTTTGTTGTATGCACTTATGCAACACCACAATTTCTTACATAGCATGATGGATTTGTTTATAAAGTTAATATACGAAATCTACTGTGAATTAAAATACTTTTAACCATTTAATCTACTCACGAATGATAAAGAAAAAAAATCGAGTAATCTTTTTTCTTATCCAAGAAATGTAATTTTAGTTGCAAACTCCTATTTGTAGCAATGGCATTGTCATTAATCAGTTTTTTTTATTTGTAAATATATAGCAATGGCATGCAATGCTCCATATGTAGCCAGCCCTAGATATCATACTAGTCTTAGACTTAGACCTATGTGTAGAGCAGAGCAAACAGTATGGGACAAGGGTGGAGGGGCGGTCACCAACTCCCACTTGCTTCACAACAAGAGAAGAGAATGTGGAAATTTCGTGTTTGTTATTTTTATGACATTAAAAATATGATCTTTATTCACGCACGCTATACATAGACCCAGACTCGGAGCCACTATTTATCGTCGTCTCACTCCTCTGGTTGAGTGAAAGAAAAATTGTCCACTTTTGGACCCTTTGACATTCAGGGTCTACCTCTTTTCTACTTCCATTAAAGCCCACGAGCTGGTTTTACTTCTTTTAACGAAAAGCCAAAGCTCCTCCATTTGCAAAAGCTAAACATTTTAACACTCAGTATCTTGAAAGAGAAGCTCACCGGTCAAAAGGGTCGTCTTTTTTGAGTCGTTTTTTGTGAACCGTTTCAGCTCTGCCACTTTCAGACTCTGTTAGCAGCAAGCAAGTGATCACTTTGTGGCTACTTCCTGGAAGCTCTTGCTTGCTGAAATGCTAGTGGGAAAGTTAAAGCTTTGGAGTCTAATTAAAGGCCTTTGAGAACTATTTGGTCCCTGTTCGTCTGCTGGGTCTTTTCTTTTTATCATCTATCAAATACTCCATCAGGGTTCTTGCTGGCTTTTCTGGAGTGTAATGGTAACTATTTTTCCTCTGCTTTCTCTGTTTGGTTTTCTTGTTTCTTGGAGATGTTTTTGCCTCACTGAAATTTACCGTTGTTTGCAGAGATGGGGTTTGGGATGAGCGGTGACGGTAAAATGCTGGGATTGAGAGTGAACCCAAAACACAAGCGTTCAAAAAGGTAGCTTTCTAATTACTTCGTTTTTTGTTGACAGCTCATTAAAATTCTTTTGTTAGTTAGCAAATCAGTGTTCTCACATTTCTGCCAGATTTTGGTGTTTATACTTGTGATTATTGAACTGGAAAAACTTCTGAGATGAGTTATGGGACAAATGGGAACCTGAGCATTCGCAGCTATACACTTTTTTCCTCAAGTAACAACACTGACAATATCTACTAACCTCCATTTTGGCCTGTTTCCACTTTGCTAGTTTCATGGAGGGAAGCTTGAATTGTTTTTAGCCAAAGAGAGGGGTATTACTTGAGAGAGTTCTTTGATTTATTGAGACCCTTGAATTCAGGTGTTAGCCATGAAGTTTTTCTCTTCTCCTAGCTTTTTGTCCGCTGGATTCTTTGTATTCAATGAGAAATAGAGGGTATTGAAAGTGAAAACCGTGATAAGATATGGGGGAATTGATGGAATGAGGGACTTAAGATATTATCCTTTCCATTCTTTTTGTATTAATTGATTCAGACTCTTGATTTTCCCTTTTTTTCATTCAATTTTTTTCTCTTCTCTGCCAAAGGTTTATTTATTCTTTCATATAAATCTTTGCCAACTTCGTTTTCCTGTTAAAGTTTGTAATATGAGAAGTAAGGGATATTGAATGTCAAAGTTCTTCTTCTTCTTATTTGAAAAGAACGCCTTGAGATTTGGCTTGTAAATGGACGACAAATCATGTTTGAAGTGTCCTAGATATGGAATGAAAGACGTCAAATGTCATCTTCTTCAATCAATATCTATTAAGTATTTTTGTTCACGCTTATGCATTGCCAGCTTTCCAGAGAAGAGAGGAGTGGAGGAAGATGATTTGGATAGTTTGTATGAAGCATCAGACCGAGTAAAGCTGGTAAGATAACTACTCCATTTTGCCCTTTCACCAATTTTATTCCATAATCATTATCTTATAATAAGTCTTAATTTAAGATCTTAAGCATAGTGCCAGCCTGAACGTTAACATTTTGGCCCCTCTATTTTTCTTTTCTTTTCTAGATTTTTAATCTTAATTATACATGTGTTATAAAGTTAAAATAAAGTTTTAGGACATTTCAGTTAGTACTTATGTCTTTGATTTATAATACCCATTGCCATAGGTAGGAATTAAGCTCTGTTAAGCCAAGTTGGATACAAGACTGATGATTATGTTGATGATTCACACACTGAACTAAGAACTTTAGTGTCGAAAAGTAATTTTACATACTGACTTGGGGATTGGATCTAAAACCAGGATATGGGGCAATTCAAGGGCCGCGCTACAACCAAGAAGAAACAATCTCCTACCGTGGAAGTGCACAGCTCTTTAAAGCAAGAGGTATTCCAAACTTATATATCTTTATATATAGGTTCAAGAGATTTTGGATGTTTAAACCCAACCCATTTTGTGCAAGCAAGCTCCAGCTTTATCTTTTCTTATTACTGTTTTGAACACAGATTCTACAGCTTGAGAAAAGATTACAAGATCAATTCAATGTCCGCCATGCTTTAGAAAAAGCATTGGGTTATAGATCTTCTATCCTTCACAACACAAATGAAATTGCTATGCCTCAGGTAGCTCCTTTCTGTCTTCATATTCAAATTTTCTTTCTTTAATGTATAGGAAATATTCAACAGGCTACTTGCATCGCTATAAAAAATGTACATGCTATATTTCTATATCAGTTTCTATTGCATGCACTGTATTATACCCTATTAAAACATATATTTCTACGTTTAAGTTCTGAATAATCGCACTTGTTGTGGAGGTATTTACGATTGTTCCTACACATTTTTCCTAAATTTAGTGTCTTAAGTAGCCTTAGTTTGATACCACCAGAGTATACAGTAGATGTTTGCTTTTATCTATTGTATTTGTGAGCAGTGACTAACTTCAGCGCTCAATTTCTTCCCTGATAAAAATTGTTTTTTGAATGCCTTGGCCATAGAATTGTAATGCAAATCTGGTGCTGAGCTTGACATTGGTGTTGATTTGCTTTTGCAGACTGTTTCACCACTATTTGTTTCTGTAATTTTTGTTACTTACATTTTGACACTGCTTTTATATGACTCCAGCCAGCCACAGAATTGATTAAGGAGATTGCAGTATTGGAATTGGAAGTTGTTCATTTAGAACAATACCTTCTCTCTTTGTATCGGAAAGCATTTGATGGACAATTGTCCTCTGTTTCCCCATCTAAGAAGGATGAACAACTAAAACCAACTCTAACAACCCCAAGAAGCAGGTACCTGGAAGTTTCCGAACCTGAAATGCCATCAAAGAGGGAAAATTTAGCAGTTCAATCTGGTGGTCAGTCACTTGAAAATTCATGGAAGGGAACTAATGGAATTGGAGGAGAAGAAAATCTATTCGATTCTGGTGTTCACCGTTGCCACTCCTCACTTTCGCAACGTTCTGCATTCTTATCTAGAACTTCTCCTCCAGAAGAGTGTTTGTCGAAAGCTTTGCGTTCATGTCATTCTCAACCGTTATCCATGATGGAGGTAATTTATGTGCATTGTTTTTACCGTTTTCTGATAAAAGTTTGTTCCCCTAAAGATGCTCATCCACAGATCATGGCACACCCTGGTTTAACCATTTTTTCATGCTATGCATGGCAATTTGACGGCCTTATCTGATTGTCTTTCAATTGTTTTACCAGTATGCTCAGAATACTTCATCAAATGTAATTAGTCTGGCAGAGCATCTTGGTACACGCATTGCTGATCATATTCCAGAAACACCTAATAGGCTTTCGGAGGACATGATCAAGTGCATGTCCACTATATATTGCAAGCTTGCAGAACCACCCTTGACAAATAATGGCCTTTCATCCCCCAATTCATCTTTGTCATCAACAAGTGCATTTTCTCCACGAGATCAGAGTGAAATGTGGAGTCCAACGTTCAGGAATAATTCATCTTTTGATGTACGATTGGATAATCCTTTTCATGTTGAAGGACTTAAAGAGTTTAGCGGGCCATACAGCACAATGGTTGAAGTGCCATGGATTTATAGAGATAGTAAAAAATTAGGCGATATAGAGCACTTGCTACAACATTTTAGGTGAGCCTTTATGTCAACAATTTGAATTAAATTTTATGTTTTCTTGCAATTAAAGTTATGCTTACAGAGTTATCTTGTTACAGGTCACTTATCTGTCGTCTAGAGGAAGTAGACCCAAGAAAGTTGAAAAATGATGAGAAATTAGCCTTCTGGATTAATGTACACAATACGTTGGTGATGCATGTAATGTTCACTACCTGTGGTATACCTATTTCACATTGTGGTCATCTTTGGTTGGTTTCTACTGGATTCTAATGAATAATCTGTTTCTGATAGGCATATTTGGCTTATGGGATTCCACAAAACAATGTAAAGAGGGTGTTTTTACTTTTAAAGGTAAGAATAGTCTCTCACAGGCATTACTTAAAGGAAAAGTTTAGTAAGGGTATTTGTTTACTTGGTTTCTTTTACTTCCAGGCTGCATATAACATCGGGGGCCACACAATCAGTGCAGACACAATGCAGAGCTCTATCCTTGAATGCCGAATGTCTCGCCCAGGACAGGTGGATCCTAGGACACATATTTATACACACTCTGAAACTCTAAAAAACGCTTTATTCTAATTTCCCAAGAGTTTATCTAACTTAACATCTCTTGTGATTCAAACTTATAAAGGTTATCTGTGTTTGCAGTGGCTTCGCTTGTTGCTTACTCCAAGGAACAAATTCAAGACTGGGGATGAACGGCAAGCATATGCCATCGACCATCCAGAACCCCTTCTTCACTTTGCACTTTGTTCAGGAAGCCATTCTGATCCTGCGGTACTTCATTATCCCTTTTTTTGTGTGTATTTCTAACATTACTCATAAATCTATACTGCTTTTGGAATATCCCAGCATATTTGAATGTATTCTATCCTGTATTGAACTCCTAGTTGCATTGCATCCCACTGCCACAATGGAAGGCAGAAGTACGTTTTAGCTTTTAGCAGTCACCCTTCTATCTGGTTAATACTGAGAAAATAACCAAAACGAATTTATCCCTTGGAAAAAAGGATAGAAAAATCAACAATTCCTTGATATGCTTTGTCTTAGCTTTTATGTTTTTAAATGAGAGAAATTGTGTGAACCTTTCCGTGATCTTTCTCAGGTTCGTGTATACACACCCAAGAGAGTATTTCAGGAACTGGAAGCTGCAAAAGATGAGTACATTCGAGCTACCTTTGGCGTGCGCAAGGACCACAAAATTCTTCTGCCCAAGATTGTTGAGGCATTTGCGAAGAGTGCAGGTTTGTGTCCGGTTGGTGTTTTGGAGATGATCCAACAATCAGTGCCTGAATCTTTGAGGA